TGATCAAGCTCCCTGCTCCACAGAAGAGCAGTAGAACAAGTTGAAATATGCACTGGACCCACAGAGAAGTCATCAGTTCAAAACCAACACCAGCCAGAAATAAAAGCAGTGCCTGTGAATCACCCAGAAATGTCAGCACAGGGATGGTGACTTAAGGGATAAGCTGAAGTATCTACCAGTAGGTGATCTTTTGGCTGCACTTCTGTGTTCTTTGTCAGCAAGATACAGCCTGATGCATTGCCTTAGCTGGCCCACACAGATGTTACTGCTTGAGGCTATTTTCACTCTTCCTTCCAAAGGCAGGAGGCACACAGAAGCAGGTCAATTTGCTTAGCTCCCACACAGAAAAAAAGAAAAAGAAAAAAAAAAAAACGGAAAGAAAAGCTATTTTGAAAACTACGTCTTCTAATCAGCACTGCAGCCTGATTCACTGTCTCCTCATCAGAGCCTTGGCTCAGGATGCCTGATGACAGGTAATTTTGATTCAGAAAGAAATAGTCTCTGCAATCTCATGGCCAGGAAAGGACAAGGATGTTTCAGTTGCTAAAACATTGCAGAAGATCTCTTTCTTCTAAGATTTCAGAGCCATGGTGTAATATTCCACCTCTTTTTTTTTTTTTTTTTACTTCATGGGGGGGGTGATATGTCTTATTTCAGCAAAATTAAAAGCTTTTCACTACTTATTATCTCCTTCTAGTGAGAAATGGTGTAATGAGGTTCTTTTGTCTAAAGGTGGCTTAGGTTAAACTAGGAAAGTTTTTGATAATGCACAGAAGCATTATCTGGAGGTCTGGAGGACATGCCTGGCTGTTTATAATCTCCGTATTTGGCCAGCAGATACTGCTGGTTAATAGTGTGACCCTTCACCCAGCAAAGCATGTCCAGTGCTTAACTTTGCCCCCAGTCCCATCTGGTTTTACACAACAGATAATTTGCTTAATACTGTTTATATTTTAGTAGGAATGTTGCTGCAGATCAATGGGAACAAAGGCAGGCAGCAGAAGTCACTGACACTGTGGGTGTCCATGGCTGGTGCTACTCACACCAGAAGAATAGGGTTCACTTCAAGCACAACATTTCAGGTGTTGAGTGGTTTTAGTAAGCCAGAAATATTTATTTTGCAGGCAAATTCCTCTCTTTGGCTGACAAAGCAGAAGGTCTGAATACCTTCGAGATTTTAGGGCTGAAGAGTTTGGTATGGAGCTTCATGGAGGTCGATAAAAGAGTTTCAAGAAGCACTTCACTGGGTCAAGTGAGCCTAGAGGGGATAAGCCATGAAAAGGGTCACAGGAAATTTTAAGTGATTGTAAGGTCAAAATGCATTAAAGCCATCAAAGAGAAATAGCTGCTGCATTAAACAGAAAACTCAGCAAGCTGTGAATGCCTTTTAGTGTGTGGGAGGAGTGTGCCTGTTTTATGTGGTGCTCTGTGCAACACCTGTGTTTTATCTTAACACCTACAGCTGCTTGTTGCCTTATCAGAACCACCCCTCCTCTGACATACAGCACAGAACCACACTGCTCCTTCAACCTGCACCACCACCTTCAGCATGGCTCACCTTATCTGACCCACCGTTCAGGGAAGCAGAAGATCATGGAAGTGGTTCCAAGCTGTAAGTGGTGGCCTTACAGAATTGTGGCACGTTACAGGCTTGAGAAACACCATTGCAAATGAAATTCTGTGCTTTGCTGAAGAGCGTGGAGATGTCAGCACTGGCAGCAGGGGAATGATGAAGGCTTTGGTGATAAGCACTGACTGCCAGCAAGCCTGCACCCAGAACTTGTGGACAGCCCCTATCCCAGTGATTCATCCTGCCTGACTGCAACAAAGGGAAGACACAAATCTGTTTATATCCATGGCATTAGGGCTAGTCCCCAAGAGAGATGGAAAACTTATCAAACCCCTGCTGTCTCTGGGTCAAGGTGCCACGGCTTTCTTAAGAGGAGGGCAAAAAAAATATAAGTGAGTCTTTTCAAAGTCATGCTAGTACCTGGGAGGATTGCAATAATTTGATTTGCTCTCCTAGTGTCTGATAATTTATTTCGTTTTCCTGTGAGACGCTCTAGCATTTTTGTTTGCTATTTTGAAATTGGAACTCCTCCACAGAGGCCAAGGAGTGGGACCAGAAAGGATCCAAACTAGTTATCATTAACAAATGTTGAAGTCTGCCTGATGGGTATTGAGATGGAGTTGTATTTAAGAAAGTTAAAGAAAGGGAGGACAAGGTGGAGATGTCAGGAAGGAAAAGGGGAGAGATAACACTGCATTCATTTACCTAAAGGTGCTTGTGAATTCCTTGGCAAAAAGAGAATTTCTTCCCCAGAGGGCAGGGAGGCAGAAGTGCTGCTCCAGTTCAGAACAGGTTTGGTACTGACCTGAACCCTCAGTTCACTTTGAATTGAACTCCTTCGGATTTATCACTGGAGTCAGAGATGCCATAAGTAATAAAGGCAGTTCATGCTATATTTTCATAGCTACTTGGTCATTTGTAAGGCAACTGAACAAAAAAAGAGGTAGAAATGAAAAGTTGAAAGTCAGTTTGAACTTATGTTTTTTATTCAGATCAAGACTGGACCTCACCTGTTGCTGAAACCATTGCTGAATTAAAAATTTGACTCTCTGCAGCTGGGTCTGCTGTCAGTACAAAAAAAAAAAAAACACCCAAAACAATAGGAATGTGATTAAGGTTAAAAATGTGTAAGGTTAAAATGTGTAAGGTTAAAAATATACAGAAAATGTAAGCAATAAAAGAAAGAAAAAAAGGTGAAATATCCATCTGAACAAGTGCTGCTGTCCTCAATACCTTTTCTTGACTTCACTTTCTAAGAGGTAGTGGGAAGATATTGTCCAAGTTTCAGACTATTTCAAAACAAAATCTGTATGTTTTCAACTGATTTTAGGAGAACAGGTTAGTGCTGGGGAGATCATGGTCCATGAATATCAAAAAGCACCAAGTGATTTTAAATCTAGAACCAAACTTCATGGTTTGGGCTCATCTTTTCTAAATTCTGAATGTCTAAGCTGTTGTATAATTGAAATTTGAATTGATCCAAGATTGTGGATCAAAAATCTCTTATTGGAGGTGTGAGATCAAAGGGGAGAGAAAAAAGAAGAGGGAAAATAAGAGATTAAATTATTTCAGAGTTATGGAGGCCATGACCCTTTGAACTCATGTAGGTTTGAACCAGTGGTTGCAGCATTTCTTAAGAGCTCAGCAAGAACTGTAGATCCCTGTTAGCCTGAGTAAGCAGAGGCCAAGATTCCAGCATGGATCAGGAGAGGTGGAGAAAGAAGGAAATGGAGGATGACAGTTTGAGGGCTGGGGTCCAAGCAGCCCCGATAATCACGGCCATGCCTGCCCTGCCTAAGGGCAGGTCAGGATGCTGAGGGATCCAGGAGGCTTGGCACAGAATGAAATGCAAATGTAGCAGCCAAGCAAGAGCAGCAATACAGCTCCAAAAGCTGCCAGTGCAGCAGCATCTGGGCTGAAGGGAGAGACCAGCACACAAAGTGCTACAAAAGCAATATTTCACTACATCACAGGAATAATTAGGGAACCTAAATCTATCTTCTTAAAAATGCCTGATCATACCCGGGAGAGGAACAAAAGGTTATTCTCCCATCAAATAAAAGTTGCTGCATTTTTGCATGCCATCTTTTAGTAATCATCCCTATTTTGAGGCTCTGTCAGGATTCCACCTCCTACAGCAGAGGTCTGAGGGGGGACTGTGGTCATTCAGAGCCCAGTGTGCAGTGACAGCTCCACAGTCAGGGTTGCTGCAGCACTAACAGTCACTGATGTGCAAAAAGGCAGCACAGCCTCGGGGCTGATGGAGGCACTGCTGTGTTTTAGCTGCCAGCCCCTCGAGTCCCCTGCTCTGCTGAGAGGAGCTGGGTGTCCCACGGCCACCCATCCCTGCAGGCAGGGAGGAACAACACCAGTTACCACGGGTGGGAAGGGGTCACTGCCAGCTCCACTGTGCGTACAAAGCTTTGGACACGGCAGGAGCCTTTGGGCACAAATGCGTTCTCACACCTTCACTGCCAAGCTCCTCCTGACTTGGCTCTCCTAGCCCAGTGCAGCCACTCGCTGTGTTACACGGCTTTTTGTACTCCACCCAATTATCCAATGCCTCCTTCCATGTAAAATGCAAATCATTCCCACTCTCACCATACTGGCACTGCCATGTTTCTGAATAACCCAGCCTCTGATGGGTGCTTCCTGCGCTTACCTTAATAGGCAGGGAGAGACAGGACGGGAGGAATTTGGGTACCTGCCTATGGCATCTCCCTACATCAAAGCAAGTTGGGATTGCAGATGTGTGACCTCCCAGAAATGTGAGATTTTAATGCTAGAGGTTCTAAAGCAACATTGGTAAGTACAGCTTAATCAAAGACACAAAAACTAGCTATTCAATTTTTTCATGAAGTCAACAAAAAACACATCTGGCTTCTTGTGTTTGAAAGAACAACTCAGCTCTCACATCTTATTTGTACAAAAGAATAAAGTAAAAAGGTAAGTATTTTAACAAGTGATGGTTCAAAAGGCCAATGGAAGAATAGATATTTAGGATTTATGCTTGGCTGAATGCAAAATCACACCCAAAACTGTGTGAAAACAATCCATACTCATCAAGGCCTTTCTTACCCAAATGAACATCTAAGAACATGAAGGAGGAGTCTTCCCATATGGAAGTGAAAGCTCTACCAATCTTTGGCTTGTCCTCTTGCTTTTCTGAGAATCTTTGTAATCAGCCTCTCTGCTCTGGTGAGGCAGCTCTTACCAGAGCTTCAGCCAAAAAGTTTCCACATGACACAGCATTTCCCATAAAGATTTCTGGGACCTATCAAGCCTCTGCGTTTCAGACTCTCAATTCCAAACCGCTTTTCTGGTTTTTAATTACAAGCCAACTAACCTCTGCAAGGAAGTAAGTGATCCTGCACTAAAGTCTTCCCTCACTTCCCAGCCCCCACGTTCTTCCTTTGTTGTGTTCCTGCAGGTGTCTGTGAGCCCACGTGCATGAACGGGGGGAGATGTGTCCACCCCAATGTCTGTGACTGCCCGTCTGGCTGGAGGGGAAAGCACTGCAGCAAACGTAAGCACCTCCGCTCCCATCCAAGTTTATATTCATTAGCGCACTCAACAGCAATCTGCAATCTTTTAATACTAAAAACCAGCACAGAATCTGTTTTGCCACTTCAGCAGTTTGAAGAAATAACAGTTTTAAGTACAGGTGTTACAAAATGCTGTAAACACTTGATGCCTGCAGAGGAGAAAAAGCTGTGTGGGGGAACCCTGGTTCTGCTTCATGCAGCTCTGTTATACATCTTGTTATGGAAATTCATTTTTACAGTATTAAACTTGAAGCATTGATTTTATGTTTTAACAGCTTCACATATTTTGTTATATTCTGCAGAGAAATGTCATGTATTTCAAAGTACAGAACTATCTAAAGCCTGCTATAAAGCTTCCCAAACTGATGTACTCTCAAGGTCATCGGTGCATAATTTGGAGAATGACGTGTTCTTACTCTGTAACTCTGACTACAGTTACATAAAAATGTAATTAAAAAAAAAAAACTTCTCACCCTAAAATATTTTCAAGGAATATTTTTCCATACATGGCTATTCATTACCATGAAGTTGACAGATAAATTGAATAAATTTATAATCAAGATGACATACTGTATGTAAACCAGATTAAAATATTGGCTTTTTACCCTTTAGGTCCTGCTAGTAAATATGATTTCAGAACCAGTGGCTTGAATTTATAATATTAATAATTTATTCAGAACTGCTGAAGGAAGGAAGGGTCTCATACATATACACAGATCATACACTCACTCTTTCAGGATCTCTGAACAAAAAATATCTATAATAAACATATCAAACTTTTCTATGAAAATATTTGTTTTTTACATAGAATATGTAGCACATGAATGTATCATAGAGAGATTATTCTTAGCTGATGATGAGCTAAGCATTAGAAATGCCAAGTCTCCCAGCAGACAGTTATCAGAGATAAATTTCTTAAGAAGAAAATATCAAAGAATGCTGATCATCATACTGATGATGGGATGAACAGAACACACCCATTCCTTTGGAAGTTGGCCGCATGGAATAAAGCCTAAGGTCACCTCTCAGCCAGCTGTTGAGCACACAGGTACATCACATCCATCCTCTCACTAGTTTCCTGTCCCTGTCCAGCTGTTTGCCTGCAGAGGTGTCTCCATGGAGGGGAGTGTGTGGGTCCCAACGTCTGCCAGTGCTCCAGAGGATGGGTGGGAACGTTCTGCCAGACCCGTGAGTGCTCCTCATTCCTGCAGTTTTGTAACGCCTCAGGTTTTTACACATTGCATTTTCTCCTCTGTGTGTATTCTGTCAGGTTTATGCCTGAACTCAATCATCTTAAAGGTCTTTTCCAGCCTAAAAGATTCCATGATTCTATTACGTGTAAAAGTCAACCATAACATGATTAGCACCTAAATTCTTCCTCTTATTTGTCAGAACTGTCCTAAGCTGCCAGTGAAACTGGTACTTTCAAAGACATTTCTAGACTCAACATAAGAGGCCTGACTCATCTTTTTTCTCACATGGATGCTGACATCAACCTGTCAGACAAAATAAGTACTTTTTAAATTAAATAATTTGAAATACAAGGTAAAAAGGAGAGGTCAAGGAGAAAAGGAAATGGAGTACCCATTCTCTATACCCAAGTGGCATTAAGCACAGAAATTCTGTGTGTCTGCTAACCTCAGAGCCTGACCCTGTAAATTCTACTTGTTCAGACTGACCAAGGTGGCTTTTAGTATTTGCATTTGGGGGGGTTGGGAGAGCTGGAATGGGAAGAGATCTGTTATTGCCAATTACATCCAGGGTCACTTCAGCTTGTGGCTGCCATTAGCTTTACAGCAGAAGGGTATGAGGAAAATATCAAGGCATTATCCCCTGTAAAGGGCATTATCTCCTTTATCTTCCTTTCCCTCACACTCACAGAGCATAATTACTTATGGAAATCTTCTGTCAGCTAACTCCCAATGGCTGTGTAATTGTTTCTTTGTGCCAGCTGTCTTCTAGTTCAAACATGGGAATGTTTAAAGTTATTGATGGCATATTCTTGACTCAGTTTATAAAATAAATAAACAAATCGTGCTTGTTCCTGTGAAAGGCAAGTAGGACTAGCATTAACAATTTCTGCTGTCCTATGCAGGCACACAAGCCAGGTAATTTTTTATAGATTTATCTAACCTTTGAAACTTTGCTCCAAATCCCTTCACCTGCTAGTCATTCTGATTTTATTATTTCTTCCTGTAGTGGGAGGTTAAATCTTTTTTTTTTTTTTTTTGTCCAGAAGGGTCTGGCTGAAACTCCCAGGTCCCACAGCAACCCCAAATTTGTGCTTTTTTAAAGAGGAGAGTAGACTATTGTCAGAGAGCAGATGGTGAGGTCTTACAATGCTGCTCCAGGGTATTCTCAGCGAGGCAGGGGCAAAGCAGAGGAACAGGAAAGCCTTCATCCTCACAGATGTTAGTATGAAGTGTAACCCTGAAAGTAAGTCATGTTTCATGTTTTAATGGGAGGCTATTCCCTCAAACCCTGGACTCAATGGAACAAATGTATTTATCTGTCTAAACATGAGAAGCCTCCTGATTGCCTCCCTTGCTCACCTTCTCCTGAGCTCTGGCAGAGGCTGCAGCAGCACAGAGGGCTGAAACCAACCTCTGGTCACTGGTTTTGTTGCTCTTTTACTGCTTTGGCCTCTGTCCCATCTCCCAGCAGCACAGGGACACTGGGCCAAACCCACAGGCTCTGCCAGAACCTGTCAGCTTCTGGCAAGGAGCTCTTTGGTTCATCACTCCACTCCCCTGTGCAAAACTGCTTTGTCACATTTAAGCTCCTGAGGTTTCCCTGAGCACAGCACCCAGGTCTTGCTTGGATGTGCATTCCCAAATTCCACTGTAACATCAGCAAGGCTGAATTCAACCTAGATTTGCACCACTTTAACCACAGACTTTGGCTATTAAACTCAACAATGGAGCAAAATATTCACATTGTAAGATGATAAAGTAGTAGCTGCTACATTATATGAAAATATTATATCATATTTATATTTGTTTATTCTATAACATTAAATCAAAACTACAGGGTTTTACACTATATTGAATATTTTGATTCATAATATGTATTATTTCTATGTTTTCAAATTATTCATCTCAATTGATTCCATTTTGTTAATCTCAATAATTTCCACTTCATAATGCAAATATTTCATCTCACTCTACAAGTAACAATTCAGAGGATAGGTGTTTTCAACAACCACTCTGTAATCCAGAATCCATTAGGGCAGGATTTTTTATCAGGGGCTTTTTCAAGGGCAGGAGATAATTAGATAATCCCAGCTTCATTCTTTGTTTTCAGCCTGTGACTTCACTCAACTGTCCTTATCAGGATGGTGGTGATGGAAATGCAGATACAGGTTTCATCTACACACCAAACCTCATTTTTTCCTGCCTGACTTCCTGACACATTGAGGAGGGTGACTAAACCACAGGATATGCAGAGACTTCCACTACCATTTTCTGGACATTTCCCAGACGGAACAGGTTGTTGCAGTACTTTGTACTGAGATAGCCAGAGTAGGTCCTTAAGCCAATGCAAGGAACAATGGACAAATACTAGGAAATCATCTTGGACATCTACTTTTTGATTTATCTTTAATAAGAGTCCCAGAGCACCTCCATCTGTTCAGTTTCTAACTCACAAAGGCCTGAGCCCACATGGACCATTCAAGATGTTTGGAGGCAGCAGCTGTCACAATAATTCCTCTCTAAACACTTTCTTTCTTCAGCCTTCTACTAAAACAAAAAAAGACAAAACATTCTCTACTTTTAGGTCTCTAATAATTTAACTGTTTACAACCTCAGATACTGATGTCTCAGGTTTTCTTATCACCTTTCACCAGGAACAAAGACACAGATTTCTACCACAAGTGATAACCCAAAAGACTTCAACTTTCAGCAGACAAACCCACTGACAGTATCCTAGAGTAGACTTTCCATTCTACTGCAATGAAGATTGGCAATGTCTAAGGCAGAATAACTTTGTGTCTAAAATATTTTGAAAATGCCTCAGAGAGCTAGAATGGGCTGTAATATCAGAGGTAACAAGGAGCTTATAACTAATTTGGAGCAGGTCTGCTACATTTTGGAGATGCAATCACACAGGCAAAAACTCTGCCTCTTTTGCAACGATGCACAATGAAATTGCATGTCCATGTCATGCAGTGAATTATGATTTCTTAATGCTAAAATCAGTCAAACTCACAATGACATTCCAGAGACATCTGTGCAGGAAGGTTTATTTACAGTTTCACAGGTCCCTGGCTGTAACTAGAGAACTTGGCAAGAGCAAAAGAGACTTTCAGTAGACATTGATAATGGATAAAGCACAATAGTCCTCCTTTATCAGACTGTAAATAAAGAGGTCAGTCAAAAGAGTAGTTTTCTTCCCCACTCATCTGTAACTGAACAGAATGGCTTCTGAAAGAGAATCGATAAAATAGGTCATTTGTCCCAACAAATAAGGTGTATGGGGGAATACACACGTTATCCTTGATAAATATCTGTGACTTTGAGGGGTATAGTTTAAGGAATAATGGTCAATTTTCAGACTGTACTGCAAATGTAGGGAAATAACCTTTTGGAAAAACAGGTTAAAAAAAGTAATTTGAAATATTCAACGTGTCTCAACTATAGAAAAGAGCAGCTTTATAGAGGAGGGCTCTTCCATTAGAAGCTTTTCTGTCTGACTCTGTTTTTTGCTCCCATGGCTGCAAAAGTATCCAAAAAACTTGCCTTTCTGAAAAGAAAGAAACAGTATGCCGGGGTCACCGTGTTTTCCCATCAGTGATTTCATTCCTGTTCCATATTAGACGCCAGTTTAAAGATCCATGCCTGAGGGTTCCCCTTGCTTCCTGTGCTGGTAACTCACATCTCTCTTTTTCTTGGGCTCAGAAAGAAACATTGGGGCAAAAAATTGAACATCTGGCAGCAGAACCTGATCACTCTGACAGACACACCCAAAACACAGCTCAGTAAAGTCAGAAGGCTTCTGGCCAGGGGTACAGGCCTGTTGTCTGAGGCTCTGAATGCAGGATCAAGGTATAATTCTAACAATTAATTATAAAGTATAAGAAGGTTATAGTTGTGAAGGATGTTCGTCATTAAAATTCATGCTGCTGTCTTCTGTTCTAATATTATTGAACCCATACTGGCTTCTCATTGCCCTTCAGAATAACTTCTCTTTATTTGCATGTTATAAGTGTCAAGCTTATGGCCTTATAATTTCCTCAATATTCTTCCCATTCTCTCTCTCTGCCTTGAACAACATCCTGGGCAGGATTTCCTCAAGCTTTCCTCTGTAACCCTTCCAAACCTTAAAAAAGCAAATAATTTTGAAAAGAATGTCGTTTGCATGCAAATTATAGCTCTATTCTTTTAACATGCAGGGATAAAACTCTTTCTGTAATTGGCATTTATTGATTATAATTTTAACATAAGCTTAGCCTGTTAAATGACTTTGCTGAATGTGTACAGTATAATGCATACATAGCTGGTGTCATTTTTAGTGTTTAGTGGCTTAGCATCCCTTGTAAATACATTTATGAAATATTCATTTGAACTTCAGCTCTGTTATTATCCTCTGTGATGTCAATTCCAATTTTCCTCCAAAATGTTTTGAACTTTTCTCCTAACTGAGCTCTTGTTTTTCTGAGCACTACAGAAAGAAGCTGGGGGTGAACAGGGAGAGATAGGAAGAAAAGGATGAAAAAAGGAGGAAATATTTTCGCTTTTTAAAATTTATTTTCACATACTGAGAATCAAGGAAACCACAGAGAAAACAAAATTCTAGTACCTCATCTAATGCCCATGTGTACCAGAACACCCTCAGATGCTATAGGGATCTGCAGAAAATCCACTTCTCTTTGCATTACCTGTTCCTATTTCATCTGCTACCAAGATGAAAGGAATATCAGCTTCCATTTTTCTCCATTCATATCAAACAAATAACAGAAATATACACAATTCTTCCTCTAATAATATTAACACACACAGGTCTCTCTCTTCCTGCCTGCCATACAGTGGAACAAAACTTGCTTGGGCACAAGGAGCCTTTTCTGCTGACAATGCACTCCCTGTTGGGAAATGGTTCTGTCCCAGTGAGCCAAACTCTAAGAATTTTCCAATTGTAAATCTGTCTTTTCAAGGTTCCTGGAGGAGCTGGAGTAGCACTCCAGAGATGATAAGCTTCCTGTTCTAGCTTGAGTGTGATTTCATTCCTCC